CTTATGAAAGAGGTGGGAGCTAGTAAGACCTGGAGGGGAGAGGAGCTCCACAAGGAGAGCAACAGATCCAAAAATCTGGGCACATGGGACTGATAGTCGAACCAAGTAGCATGCATGAAGATAACCCAGAACCCGTGCACAGATGTAGCCCATGACAGTTCAGTCTCCTAGTGGGTTCCATAGTAATGGGAACAGGGACTGTCTCTGACATGAACTGATTGGCCTGCTCTTTAGTCACCTCCAGCTGAGGGGGGAGCAGCCTTACCAGGCCACAGAGTAAGGCAATGGAGCCACTCCTGATGAGACCTAACAAACTAGGATCAGAAGGAAGGAAACGAAGACCTCCCCTATCAGTGGGCTTGGAGGGGGAGGGCATGCATGGAGAAGGAGAATTAAGGGAGGGGAAAAGGGAGGGAACTACAGGGGGGATACAAAGTAAATAAAGTGTAATTAATATTTTTTAATCAGGTCTGGGGACTGAAAACATGGCTTAGCAGTAAAGAGAGTGTACTCTTCTTGCAAAGGGCTTGATTTCAGTTCCCAGAACCTGTGTTGGGAGGCTCACAATTATCTGTAATTCCAGCTGCAGGAAAACCAACTCCCTCTTCTGGCCACTTTGGGCTCTAAACCCATGTTTTTACACACACACACACACACACACACACACACACACACACACACACCCCATTTGAAAATAAATTTTTCCCAATCTGTAGGCTGTCGTTTTGTTCTGAGGACAGTGTCCTTTGCTTTACAGAAGCTTTTCAGTTTCATGAGGTCCCATTTATTGCTCTTAGAGCCTGTGCTGTTGGTGTTCTGTTCAGGAAGTTGTCTCCTGTGTCAATGAGTTCAAGAGTATTCCCCACTTTTTCTTCTAAGCGGTTTAGTGTGTCTGGTTTTATGTTGAGGTCTTTGATCCACGTGGATTTTTAGTTTTGTGTGGGGTGATAACTATGGATCTATTTGCGTTTTTCTACATGTAGACATCCAGTTAGACCAGCACCATTTGTTGAAGATGCTGTCTTTTTTCCATTGTATGGTTTTGCCATCTTTGTCAAAGATCAGGTGTCCACAAGTGTGTGGATTTATGTCAGGATCTTCTATTCGATTCCATTGATCCACCAGTCTGTTTTTATGCCAGTACCATGCAGTTTTTAGTATTGTTGCTCTATAGTACAGCTTGAGATCAGGGATGGAGATACCTCCTGAAGATCTTTTACTGTAGAGAATTATTTTAGCAATTTTGGGTTTCTTGTTGTTCCATATGATGGTGAGAATTTTTCTTTCAAAGTCTGTAAAGAATTGTGTTAGTAATTTGATGGAAATTGCATTGAATCTGTAGACTGATTTTGGTAAGATGGCCATTTTTACTATATTAATCCTGCCAAGCCATGAGCATGGGAGATCTTTCAATCTTCTAATATCTACTTCTAATTCTTTCTTCAGAGACTGGAAATTTTTTTCATACAAGTCTTTGACTTGCTTGGTTGGGCTAATATCCAGTATATATACAGAACTAAAGAAGTTAAATAGCAAAAAAAAAAAAAAAAATCAACTAATCCAATTAAAAAATGGGGTACAGAGCTAAACAGAGAATTCTATGCAGAGGAATATCAAATGGCAGAGAAACACTTAAAAAAATGTTCAACCTCATTAGCCATTAGGGAAATGCAAATCAAAATGACCCTAAGATTTCACCTTACACCCATCAGAATGGCTAAGATCAAAAACTCAAGAGACAACACATGCTGGAGAGGATGTGGAGAAAGGGGAACCCTCCTCCACTGCTGGTGGGAATGTAAACTTGTACAACCACTCTGGAAATCAATCTGGTGCTTTCTCAGACAACTAGGAATAGTGCTTCCTCAAGATCCAGCTATACCACTCCTAGGCATATATCCAAAAGATTCTCAAGTACACAATGAGGACATTTGCTCAACTATGTTGGTAGCAGCCTTATTTGTAATAGCCAGAAGCTGGAAACAGCCTAGATGCCCCTCAGTGGAGGAATGGATGCATAAATTGTGGTAGTTCTACACAATGGAATATTACTCAGAATAAAAAAAAAAAAAGGAAATCAGGAAATTTGCAAGTAAATGGTGGGATCTGGAAAAGATCATCCTGAGTGAGCTATCCCAGAAGCAGAAGGATGCACACGGTATATACTCACGCATATAGACATATAATATAGGATAAACCTAATAAAATCTGTACACCTAAAGAAACTAATCAAGAGGGAGGACTCTTGCGATAATGCTCAATTCCTATCCAGAAAGGCAAAGAGGCTGGACATCAGAAGGAGAAAAGAGGGAACAAGTCAGGAGCCTGACACAGAGGACCTCTGAAAAGCTCTGCCCTGCAGACTATCAATGTAGATGCTGAGACTTATGGGCAATCTTTGGGCAGAGTGCAGAGAATCTTAGGAAAGAAGTAGGAAACAGTAAGATCTGGAGAGGACAGGAACTCCACAAGCAGTGCAACAGAACCAGAAAATCTGAGCACAGGGGTCTTTCCTGAGACTGATATTCCAACCAAGGACTATGCATGGAGATAACCTAAGACCCCTGCACAGATGTAGCCCACAGCAGTTCAGTATCCAAGTGGGTTCCATTGTGATAGGAACAGGGACTGTCTCTGACATGAACTGATTGGCCTGCTCTTTAATTACCTCCCCCTGAGGGGGGAACAGCATTACCAGGCCACAGAAGAAGACAATGCAGCCACTCCTGATGAGACCTAATTCACTAGGATCAGAAGAAAGGAAAAGAAGCCCTCCCCTATCAGTGGACTTGGGGAGGGGCATGCATTCAGAGGGTGGAGAATGGGAGGGATTGGGATGGGAGGAGGGAGAGAACCACAGGGGGGATACAAAGCGAATAAAGTGTAATTAAGAAAGAAAAAAAAGATCTTAAAAAATAAAAATAAAATACAAATTAAAAAAAATAATTTTTTAAGCATTGTTTTTAAGGCCTACTGAAGAGCTACCAACGGCTTCCCTTGGTTCTTGGACTAATATGTTCATTCCTTGTCATAACCTGAAAGCTATGTAGAAGCAGCTTCTGCCATCATTTCTGGTGTCTTCTTCCTACTTCACTCCTTATGTTCCAATTATTCTATATTTTTGATGCAATAGCCTCAGTCCCATCATAGCTTCATTTTACTTGTTCTTTCTACTTATTCATACTTACTGTTATCACCTTTACATACATGGATCAAATACATCATTCAAGTCTCAGTTCAAGTGTCATAGTCACTGTTCTATCACTGTGAAGAGACACCATGACCAAGGCAACGCATAAAAGAAAGAATTTAATTGGGAGCTTGCTTACAGTTTCAGAAGCTTAGTCCATTATTATCATGTCAAGGAACATGGAGGCACACAGACAGACATGGCACTTGTGAAGTAGCTGAGACCTAATCCTGATGTCCAGGCCAACAGAGAAAGAGAGAGAGGGAGAGAGAGACAGAGACAGAGACAAAGAGACACTGGATCTGATGTGGGATTTTGGCATCCCAAAGCCCACTCCTCAGGTACACTCTTCCTCCAACAAAGCCACATCTACTCCAATAAGACCACACCACCTAATCCTATTAATCCTTTCAAACAGTTACACTCCCTGGTGATTACACATTCTAATATATGAAACTATGGGGACCATTCTTATTTAAGTCACCACATTTCTATAGGTGCATTTCTTGATCCTTCAATCTAAAAGGACTAGACACATACCTTCAGTCAAACCTTTTGATCCTGTTGCCTATTTTATCTTCAGCACAGGGCTGATCTCAATCTATAATAATCTTTTTTTGTTTAAATGTTTGTGGTCTCTTGGTTCATTCAGCACCTAAAGCAGAATCTGGCTGTCTGCTAGTATGTACTCATCACATTGAATAATATAATCAACGTGGAATTGTTATTTCACCTGAATTTATCAAGGAGCTGCCTCTCTGGTTTTTCTAACACATCCACAATAAGAGATTTCATCAAGAGTGATGTTTCAGCCTGAGGTCACCCATGGTTTCTCTCCCATGTGCCTTCAGGCTATTTTCCTGTCCTCCCCGGCATTTGTTCTCTGCTACAGCCACACAAAATCACTTTCCAGTCACACAGTATGTTTTACCTTTCTTGCCTTCTTGCCATTTAGTTGTTCTGTTTTCTATGAATCCCATTCAATTGACCCTTCCAAACTAGTCACATATTTCTTCTTTATCAAATTATTCAGTAAATCCACTATTTGTAGCACATATCTCCAAGATTTTTTTCCTTTCATACTGTGGTAAGGTTATACACTTATAATCTCGTCTCCTCACTAGAATCAGTAAAGATCTAAAGTTTCATATTCATCTTGAAGCCAGCAGCTGACACTAGGCAGGCATTCAACAAACATATTAAACTAAATGAACTTGACCCAACACCATATGAAAAAATACAAATAGAGCATCAACTACTTTCCCCCAAGTGAATAAAGTTTATGGAAAAAAATAACATCTTTTAAATTATAAAACTATATTATCAACATCATAGAATACTATCTATATTGTGAGTTTTATTAACATTCTCATTCTTAAAAATCATAAAGTCTAGAAGACTGGAGGTGTTATTAACTTTTCCAAAGATACAAAATTATTAATCTTAATATTTAGAAATAAAATATAGTATCTTTAGAGGATCAAAGTCAGCTATACTACCAAGCAGCAGACCATAGTTAGGACAAGCTCACTTAGAATAACCATGTGCTCTGTCTCTCCAAGTGCTACCCAGACTCTGGTCTTCAGAATTGGTCAAGTTTAAAAGGATGTGTCACATTAGGCCCCCTTCACACCCCTGTCTCAGCAATTTCTTCTCAGGGGCCTTCGTCCTCCTATGTGATGTGAGAGTGTCTCCGGTCCTCTCAACTCATGGAACCCTTATCAGAAGTCAGTGTTAGCCACAATGTGCCACAGTCCTTCAGAAACCAACATATCCAAGACTTGAAATTTGTCCAAATGCCATTTCCTACCTTGGGCATGCAGATCAGCAAGTGTCCTGTTGTCTGAGACCTTTTAGCAGAGCTTCTGTCAGGCTGCACCTCTACAGAGAGGGCAAGCTGAAATGGCTGGAGGTGAGGAGGAGACACAGAGAGCAAGGGTACATTACAAGAGAAGCCCACCTCAAGGGGTATTTTCATTACAAATTCATCACAAACAAGTTAAGAAAACTGTTTAGATGCATTAAAATATACTATATAAGCTATTCTTAATATGTATGAACGGTGTTAGTTGGTTTTATGTACAATCTGAAGAGTAGTCACCAGCCAGTCAGTGAAATGCTTACCAATTCACTTAGGGTAGAAATGTCATTTATAGATAAAACATCAGTATATTTCTATTTTAATGTCTCTCTGGGATAACCCAAATAAATGCTAAGAATCAGAAAAATTACTATTTCAAAATGACAAAGTTATATTTTCCATAAATGAGCTCACTGGTCATTATAATGTACATTTGGTTAAACTTTATAGCCATGTTATAAACTTTTAAAAAGATACAAGGTATAGGTTTAAAACATTCATGTTCCTGAGATACTGAAGGTAACATCTATTTCCACTTTATACCATCCCTGTGTTATAAAACTACATACCCAACAAACAGTGCACTGTTTAAGTTTCTAGTCTTTCTGATACAGTAATATTTTTTTTTAATTGGGAACACAGGGCTATGTCAAGGCTTATCTTTTAAAACGGTGATATCCCACAGTTATGCCTACCTTTCCTTTGACCATTACTCGAACATAGGTTGGCTGCACATCAACTTCAATTAAAGAGGTATCCATGTACCTTCAAAATTAATTACACATCTTGTAATTGTCCAAAAAACATTCATCTCAAACAAGTAAAAGCATGAAAGCATGCTTACAAGACCACTTTAGATGAAGAAAGCTTTAAATGTCTATACTATACTGGTCCTAAAACTAGCCTTAATTTATTCCTAGTTCAGAGAAAATTCAATATATCAGCAATTTCATTTTTAGACATACAAGTACACTTGGCATTGATTGCCCCTAGCCCAAAAATATCTGAGGTCTGAAATGCCAAAGGTTTGAAAAAAAAAAAAAAAGACTTACCATGTTCTTCCATTAATATTTTATTTTAAGCCCCCAGAATTTCAGCAGCCAGGAATGCTGAATCCACTACTCTCTGGGCCAACAGTCACCAGCTCTGTTTTTTGGATGCCCCTCATGCCCTGAAGCTGTTTATGCAGAAGGTACAAGCTACTGAGCAACTGAGCCTTCCAGGGACGGCAGCCACCCAGAGCCAGGCTGTTCTTGTTTTTGACCAACTGCAACAGCTACATTTCATGCCACACATTAAAATAGGGTTAGCCTAATAAATATATTTTCAGCACTAATTGTGAATATAAGAAATGGGGCAATGATTAAAAAAAAAACACAAGTTTTAAGAAGGGAGGCTCATCCTGTCTTAAAACAAAACAGAAACAGAGGCTAGAGAGATGTAGGAACAGAGGGATAAAACCAGTGACACAAAAATAAAGTTTCCTTCAAAAGCAGGGAAGGGCAGGTAGCAATCAGGCAGAGAATGGAGTAGGTGGGAAAGAGCATGGTGGGGAAAAAGAGAAGAGCATCTAAGATTAACCACCATTCAGTACAACCAAAGACAACACAGGCACTCATAAATTAAAAAAATAAAACAATATTTTATTTTAACAGTATCCTCACACAATGGAATGTTATGTAGCCATTAAAAGGAAGGGAATTCTAACACATGGAAAAAAATGGATAAGCCATGAAGGCATTATGATGAGTAAAAAGAAACTGCCAAAGGTCACACATTGTACAACTTCATCTATATAAAATTTCTAGAGTATGCTCATTTAATATGCATAGAATATACATTAGCGATTGCCAGGATGAAGAAGAAATGAAGATTCCTTGATGGGTATGGGGTTGAGCTGATGCTATTTAATAGTTAAACAATATTGTGAATTTACCAAGTGCTACCTAATGGTATATTCCAAAGTGTCTTGACATGGTACATTTTATGTTATATGTATTTTGCCACAATTACAGAAGTAAAGTTGGAAGAAGACCAGAGCAATTATATTCTGGCTTCTCCAATTATTGTTTACTTTGACAAAAGTCACTCTCTGCAAATACTCCTTTTCTTAGGTCATTCTACACTGACCGTCTCTTTCACTTCCCACAGCTACCACAGAATCAAATGAAACACGGAGCATGTAAGAAGTCATTATTGACCCATAGGCCTTTATCAAAGCATGCTTGTGCATGTTCATGGGTTCCACTATTGTCACTCACTCAATAACCAGTTCACTGTATCTGTGGTCCTCCTATTAGGCACTGGCTACTCTGCCGGGTACTGGAGATGGGCAGCCCAAACAATGTTTCTGCCTTGACCTGAGAATTTTAGAACACAAGGAAGCAAGTGAAAAACAAGGAGTGGGGGGAAGTTCTGCGGAAGGCCAGGCCCTGTTCTTCTCAGACAGTGGGCAGGGTCCTCTCTCATAAGATGGCAACTTATCAGAGGCTGAAGGACAGAGACATTGTCGATGATAATGGCACAGGCACAGGAAAGTGGGTACAAATGGAATGGACCACAAAATGATCAGACGTTATCATGGCAGTAAGTCAAATCTAACTAGCAAGAAGTGAAGCTGAGTGACCTGGATAACGTCAGATTTATGTTACAGGAAAGGTAGGTGTTGGTTGCAGGTAGTGTTGAGTGTCAAACTCCAGGGCCTTTAGGAGAGAGGACTAATGGTCTGCTGTGGCCATGAAGGGCAAACAGGTCACATTGTCACTCTGGTCATGCCTGTCTACTAGAATAAAGTACAACTGTGAACCAGTCATAACATGGGAATCTCAAAGCTGAGAGCCTTTTGTGGTCAAGGGATCTGATGGAATGTGGTAGAAAAGGCTGACCACCCAACACTCATTATTATGGCACAGCATTATGTAAAACCAAGATGGCTGTCAAGGTAGAGTAATGGTCATAGAACAAACGGAGCTTGAGAAATGAGCGTCAGAAAACAGCACAGCTCTGAGATCATTTCAACTCAATGGGCATGATTTGAGAGCTCACAGCTATGGGGCTGGGAGGTTATGATTTTTCCATTTGCATCTTTGTGCTTTTAAAATTACAGTGAGAGGTGTAGAGATGGCTCAGTGGCTCGGTTGCTTTTGTAGAGGACCTGGGTGCTGGTTCCAAACACAATGTCTCATGACCACCTGTGATTCCAGCTCCAGGGACTCCAAGGTCCTCTTTTGGCTTCCGTGGGCACTATACATATACACGGTGCAAATACATTCATACAGGCAAACATTCATAGATATAAAATAAAACATAAAATCTTTTTTAAAAATTCCAGTGAGCACTCTGTGTTTCAGAACTCAGGCGTTTGCTACCTAGAATGAGATCTGACGGAAGAGACATGAGATGAATGTGCAAGAAGAATGCTTTACCTATAGACAGCCAGGTCCAGGATGATTTGCTTGTGTTTCTCGTCATCTTTCACAGAGAAATCAAGTCTAAAAAGGACACATTTGGGAGAAAGAAGGGTGGCTTTAGTAAATTATAATGATAACCTCATCATGTAATCAAAGCAAATGACGACCAGTATCTAAAAATCCTCAGTGATAAACTTATTTGCTAATTAGACAATTAGACAACTATGCTAGTTTAAATTTTTGAAAGAAGCCTATCTTGCTGGCTTTACTGACATGTAATGTTTTCAAGGTAAAACACATGCAGAGCACTCGCTTTGGTGCAGAGATGGAGACACCTGGTGGCTGAATTGCTCCTTGTCGTTTCATTTGAGCTTGCTAGAACCAGCATGGGTTTCCTTCTGGGGATATAAATGCTGCTTCTGTGTGTTGTGCTTTCGAAGTCCTGTTTTCAAGTCATAGTCATCTTCGTTCTTTTTTTCCTTGCCTCATTTTTTTTTCATCTCCTTTCATGTTGTCATCCCTCTTGCCCTGGGAAAGGCTGAGACACAGCCAGTAATTTATGCTGTCTAGTTTACACTTAAAGAAACAGGTTCACAGAGGCAGAAATGCTCAGAGAAAGTGCCTGACCCTTCGACTATATCCCCTGGCTGAGTCCTAAGTATAACTGCTACACTAGCACCATTTTTTCACAAAATTACTTGGTCAGTTTCATTTTGAGCAACTCACTTATTAAATTGTAATCGGTATAATGCAATAGCATTAAAGAACATATACTTAATTGTTCTGAAAATTCAAGTTCACCTCTTAAATTTGCCTATTCACTAAAGGTCTACTGTGGCAGTCACTCAACAATCTTACCATATAGGGCTTCTACAAGGTCTCAACCAAGCTGAGCACTCCTTCTTTCTTGGGAGCCTTCTGTGAGCTGTCCTCTCTGCCTTTATTGTTTATCCCACAACTGTATAGTCTGCTAATTTAAACTCTCTTAGTCTTACAGTTTTAGGTCCATACTATATTCCCTTTATCTCTAGTAATAGAGTCCCATGAAGTACATGGTTATGCAGAATAAAAACATCATTTTCCATTCTCCCTTTCACCAAGATTAAGACATATGAAGGAATGTGTTACAGGCACTCTCCAGGAATTTCCATTTAAAAAACAACATTTGTGTCTTTCCCAACTGACTTCCTTGTTTAGCTGAGAATAACAGATCATGCCAACACATGAATCATAAAAAGTACTTTTCAAGCTGTTGTAATCATCTAGGAAAAAGGTAGCATTGACTCACCCTAGGATAAAATGAAGGAGTTGATGGGAAGTTGGACTTTGGTAACATTAAAATAAAAGTATATGGAAATCACAGATAATAGCCAGGGAGAGGAGAATCAGGGATCAAGAGATTTGGGTTTTAGTGCAGATGGGTAGATGAATGTTACTGAGATGGAGACAGTCAGGGGAGATAATCACAGTGGAGACTGGAGAGGAAAAATGTAGGGAGATAGAAAGCCATTATTCTTTTCAATCATGTACATCAATAAACTGATGCCGCCTAGCTGACTGGATATAGAAGCTTTGGACTCAGGGCAGATGCAGGATCTTGTTACAAGAAATGTGAACACTGTGGTCACATTTTCATTATTTATCTTTGTCACATTAATTTTTTCATATATTTTGATTATATTCTTTTTTTCTACCCCTAAGTCCTCCCAGATCCTCCCCACTCCTCACCTTTCTGCCTACCCAACTTCATGTTCTCTCCCTCTCTCTCTCAAAACAGACAGAAAACATTAACAAAAGCATGGATTCCTTTTTGTGGTGTTTAACTATTCCTGAGCATAGGATCTGTCCTGGGGTATAGTTGACATTCCCAGTGTCACTCTATTGCAGAAGACTGATTTTCCCTCTCCTAGCAGGTATCAACTGCAAATAGCTTCTTGGATAGGGGTGGGACTTTGTGCCTACTTTCCTTGTCTGTGCTGGAAAAAAAAATCATAGGATTTTATGAAGTCCTGGCATAGAAAATATGGCAAAACAAGACAGCTGAGAAACTAAAGCTCATAGAAGAAAAGGCAGAGGATCCACCCAAGCATAAGAGCAAGAGGAAGAGCCTACTTTAACAAGGAAAGGATTGGCTGTTCCATCCGAATTCCCAAGGTAGAATAAGATGGAACCTACGCTCTGAATGCTATGTAAATGATGGGACTAAGGAGGTTTGGGGATGATGCAATGTTCAGAAGTGGCTTCAAGAAGAAACACGAAGTAAAAAGCCAGAAACTGAGTGCTGACAAGCCTGCCAAGATATTTGGCTATGACTTTAGGTAAAGAAGCAGAAGTTGACAGAAATTGGAGAAGGGGAGGTCCTGCATTTGTTCCTTAAGAAGAAAGTTACTGAAATATGCCTGTATGCTGGTGCCTCAGGTCTAGGGAAGTGGAGAGGAGTGATGCAGATCACAGGGGGCCCTGAGAAGCTAAGCCTTTGAAATCCAAATCGATGAGCCAGCAAGGGGACTGAGCTTGCCATTAAGTTCAGTCATCATAGCAGGATAATACTGTCTAGAGCAGGAACAGAAGATACCTCGTGGGTTCTGTTGTTCCTGTGAAGTGAGAAACAAGGTAGATCTCTGGTTAAGTCTACAGGAACATAAGGCAGTACTGGAGATGAGGAGAACAACAAGGTGTGACCACAGTCTGCAAGTGACTGAGAGAATGTTTACTGGCAGAGTACAAGAAAACCACAGTTGGCTTTAGATCTGTGGCCTTGCACTCTCACAGAAAGCAAGCGGGTAAAGGTGGAAGTTTTAGCCCAGGCACACTGAGAAGGGGGAATGCTCAAGATTATGCAATGCCAGGATTTGTGAGTTGGTTTTGTAGACAGAGGAAAAAGAGAGAGCTGAAGATTCTGCTGAGGATGAGTTTTTGTGAGGGATATAAATTCGAAAGCAGAAAGAGAACACAAAGCATGAGGACAAGAAGTTATAGTGTGAGCAGATTCTGATGGGAATGGAGCCTGTGACTGCTAGATTGGAGGGAGTCTGGGACAATGGAGATGGTGTTCCCTGAGTTGATGAGGTTAAAGCTCAGTACATGAGCTACTGACAGCAGCAAATAGAGGAATGAGGTGAGAATCCTGTGGTTGAGCTAAGGGGAGAAAAGTGTCAAAAGTCACGAGGCGTGAGGGTGAGGTTGATGAGGCAGAGAAACAGCAGTGTGGTTGCTAGAACCTTCCATGAACTGAGAGAGCAGGTGGCTGGAGACTGAAGTCAGTCTAGAGGATTTTAAAGGGAGTCAGATAGACTGCAGGCTGCTTTGGGCTATAACTTTACCTGAGGTTGGTGGAGAGGAATAATGGGGTCAACGGTGGAAGCTCTGGTCTTAGTCACTGGACATAGATATAAGGCACCTGAGTGATGGATCTTTAAGCTCCAGAAGACACATGAGGATGGCAGATGGGGATAGGAAGAGAGAAAACTGGGATGTATATGAGGGAATATAATTTTGATGACGGTAGATTACTTGGTGCATGAAGGAAGAGGGATATAAAGTCACAGATGGACTAGAAGAATTATTTCTTCATTGTCTTCTTAAGAGAACTGGCTTTAGGAAGGCAGGGTAGTTAGTGTGACAAGAAGAATGGCACTCTGTCCAGGACTACATAGGCTCTGGGGCTCTCCCTTCTTCCTTGTTGAGTGGCTTCTCATTAGACCTTTAGATTCGATGACTGTCGAATGCCCCATCTGCTGTACCTAGCCTGGTTTCTGGAGCTGCATCCCTGTCTGCTGAATAAAAAGGGGGCATGTCAGATGGGAGGTTGGAGTCTCCGTTGTGAGAGTCATTATACCTGGGAGAGTGTGGACAAGTGGGCTTAACCATGTGATCATATTGCTGACCTAAGAGCTGATACTCCATCTGCCAAAGATGCTCTCTGTGAAGATCAGCTAGGCCTGGGATGACTCTAGATTGTCTTTGTTGTGGTAATGACATAGCAAATGAAATGATGGCAATAAATGGGCTTTGAGTAATGAAATGAAGCTAATGAGATTTAGCCTATAGGCCTGTTGCCTGCATTGAGATTATTAAAGGCACTGTGGGTATGCTCTCTAAGTCTCAGCTTTCAGACAGACAGACAGATAGGGTAGCTCAGGTATCATGAGACTAGAGGATTTCCAGGTTTTTCTCTTTCTTTGACTGAGGTATTTATAGCAATGCCTTTCCCAAGCTTTTGAATTTTCGGTAGATGTGTTCCAGGGAAAATGTAGACATAAAAGAAATGCCTCAGAGTTCTCGGCCAGATTGCTTGTGGCAGAGTTTCAAATATTCGTAAACAGAACAATGATGCACTAACAGTTTTCAGGCACAAAGCTGTATATGGTCCAGTATTTCATGGGATACATAAATAACTAAGATTTCCAGATGTCAGGATCATTTTCTAGAAACCAGCAGAATTAACCACTAGAAATAGTCGTATGCCTGTCTTTTAACCATGCACAAAATGACATTCCTAGTACACTCATCAAAGTCATTCACAGTGGCTAACATGCTCTTGTCAGACTAAGCCTGTCGCGGAGGCCACAGCAGTACATCCTACTAGCCCAAGCCTTGGGGTCTCCACGTGGCCTCACGTACTTGGCTTCATTGACATTCAGGGCTTTCCCATCTTCAGTAACCAAAATCCGGGGTGGCTTCACTTTCTTCTTATTTTCACTTAATTGTGAGGATGATGGTGGAGACCAAAGGGCAAACAAGGAAAATAAAAAGAGTATAAAAATTACTACTACATCTTTGTGAAATACTTTTAGAAATTTAATCAGGCATTGGTTGGTACACTCACAGTTCACTTAGAGCCCATCCTCTTAATTCTATACCGCTAGCTAAAAAGCAAACCAAGTTTTACATGGTTATATCTGTATCTTCAAGGACTGAGACAATTTGCCAGAGAATTTGAATTGGGGAAGAATTCTTTTTCATGAAACACTCATGAATATTTAAATGAATCTATTTTTTGCATGATTTACCCAGATAACTGTCAATTCTCCATGTGTGTATGGAGCTTCTGCTTTGCTTAAAAATTACAATTTTTGAAATACAAGTGAAACCTATCCTGTGGAAATAAAAATACCGGTACATAAGGAAGGGGCAAACTGACACTTCTCACACCATCGTTTCCAGGGGCAAGTCCAGAACTGCCGAGAATATTTCTCATTGAATTGATTGGCTCACCTGCGGTATGTAACATTGGGAAGAACCTGACAGCTGATAAAAATGTGTTTACTCTTTGCACACTGATGGAGAAAGATGTTGATGGTGTATTTAGCGAGCAAATATATTCCATGGAAGTTTATTTTTCTTCTGTAATACTGGGGATTAACTCAGGGGGTACATAGATGCCAAAACAGTGCTGGACCACTGAGACAGATAGGCCCCACACCACTTTTTAATCAAACTCAAAGCATGTTAGAGGTTGATTTACCCGGAGGTTAGAAGTAATTAACACAGTTACATGGAAAGGAGAAAGTATAGTGCTATCAACCCAAGTTTGCTCATTGTGGTGAATGGCAGTCAGCATAGGTGAAAGTGAGTGAAACAGAATATGAAAAACAAAAAATCAGCATGTTTCTTCTCTACTGCAGATAACTTTTGAACATGTAAATAGGTACATGTGAACACAAGAAAGGATGATATAACCACAGGAAATTGTGTCTTGAATTTCTATTATCCTTTAAATAGAAGTTTTGTGTTAGTTAACTGTATTGTTTTAATCTCACATTCTTTTGCACATTAACTGAGCCTCTAGATCTGATCAAGCTACTCTAGAGACAGGACAATGAAGGGATCTAGAAGCACTGAGCTTCGCTATTCTCACTGTCAACAAGAGTTCAAGTAGGAAAAAAGACTAGTCTCTGTTACTGTTTTCCCACAGCTAACGAAAATGACCATGAATCCAAAGAGGCAGGCATATATCTCAGAGACTTAAAAGGGTGACTGAGACCTCTATCCAACTCATCTGTACTTTTTAGGTGTTAAGGAGAAAATTAAAACCTCCTGGTTCTACGCTTTGTGTAATTTAAATTGTATACACACACACAAACACACACACACACACACATATATATATGTATATGTGTATATATATATATACATATATACACACTATATGTATATTGTGATATATATATATATAATCAATACATACTCAGGTACATGAGTACATATGCTAGGAATACTATATACTATAAATCCACATATATGTAAAATTTATATTTCTAAGGGCTCTGAATCGGTATAAGAACGTTATGTTTACTGGCTCATCTACTTTTCTAAAACAAAACAACAAAAACTACAGTGGAGTGTTAAAACAGGCGATGTGTTCTGCTTAATAGAGAAGGACCAGATGAAGAGTTAGGTGCTTGAAAGCATCAAAGAGGGGGCTGAAGAGATGGCTCAGAGGTTAAGAGCACTGGCTGTTCTTCCAAAGGTCCTAAGTTCAATTCCCAGCAACTACATGGTGGCTCCTAACCATCTATAATGAGATCTGGTGCCCTCTTCTGGCCTGCAGGCACACATGCAGGCAGCATCCTGTATAAATAATAAATAAATAAATAAATCTTTAAAAAAAAAAAAGAAAGAAAGACAGCATCAAAGAGGGTGGTGGGCTCAGGACATGAATGCCCATTTTCTGATGCTGATCTCTTGCTCTTGTCAAGGCACTCTTTGGCCTTGAACAAATCACTACATTTTGCATCTCTCTATCTCTCTAATTAATGAAGAACATTTTACAGAAGTGATAGAGTCTTTCTACTTAGTTTCCCGCTTCCCACTGACAATCATAGAAAATATATTCATCTCACTGGCATGCATACAACTATTTCAGAGCTAGCTCAAGCTCACAAATTTTAAGTATTCCTGTTAGTGGAATACTTTACATACTAAATTTCAGCATTGATGTGAAATGGAAAGAAACAGATACTATTTCTGAAAAGGTAATGTTGACAAAAGCATTGCTTATGGTCCTAGCAATAAACAAGTAGTGAAATTACATCTAAACTCTTCAAAAGTGACAAATGTCTGGGAGAGTTGTACCATGACACTAAAAAGCATATTCCATTAGTTTCTAAAGATAGCATCTTCAACAAATGGTGCTGGTCTAACTGGATGTCTACATGTAGAAAAATGAAAATAGATCCATACTTATCACCCTGCACAAAACTGAAGTCCAAGTGGATCAAAGACCTCAACATAAAACCAGACACATTAAATCAGCTAGAAAAAAAAAAAGTGGGGAATACCCTAGACTCATTGGTACAGGAGAAAACTTCCTGAACAGAACACCAACAGCACAGGCTCTAAGAACAACAATCAATAAATGGGACCTCATGAAACTGAAAAGCTTCTGTAAAGCAAAGGACACTGTCATCAAAACAAAGCGACTGCCTACAGATTGGGAAAGAATCTTCACCAACCCTTTATCTGACAGAGGACTAATATCCAGTATATATAAAGAACTAAAGAAGCTGAAAAGCAGCAAACCAAATAATCCACTTAAAAAAATGGGGAACAGAGCTAAACAGAGAACTCTCTGTAGAGGAATATCTAATGGCAGAGAAGCATTTAAAGAAATGTTCAACCTCATTAACCATTAGGGAAATGAAAATCAAAACAACCCTGAGATTTCACCTTACACCCATCAGAATGGCCAAGATCAAAAACTCAAGGGACAACACATGCTGGAGAGGTTGTGGAGAAAGGGAACTCTTCTCCACTGCTGGTGGGAATGTAAACTTGTACAACCACTCTGGAAATCAATCTGGTGCTTTCTAAGACAACTAGGAATAGCGCTTCCTCAAGATCCAGCCATACCACTCCTAGGCATATACCCAAAAGAGGCTCAAGTACACAAAAAGGACATTTGCTCAACCATGTTTGTAGCAGCTTTATTTGTAATATCCAGAAGCTGGAAACAGCCCAGATGCCCCTCAACTGAAGAATGGATGCAGAAACTGTGGTACATCTATACAATGGAGTATTACTCAGCAATGAAAAATAAGGAAATCATGAAATTTGCAAGTAAATGGTGGGACCTGAAAAGGATCATCCTGAGTGAGTTGTCCCAGAAGCAAAAAGACACACATGGTATATACTCACTCATATAAACATACAATATAGAATAAACCCACTAAAATCGATACATCTGAACAAACTAAGCAAAAGAGAGGACCCTAACTAAAATGCTCAATCCCCATCCTGAAAGGCAAAGAGGATAGACATCAGAAGAAGAAGAAAACAGGAAACAACCTAGGAACCTGCCACAGAGGGCCTCTGAAAGACTCTGCCCTGCAAACTATCAAAGCAGATGCTGAGCCTGATGGCCAACTGTTGGGCAGAGTGAATGGAATTTTATGTAAGAAGTGGGAAATAGCAAGAGCTGGAGAGGACAGGAACTCCACAAGCAGAGCAACAGAACAAGAAAATTTGAACACAGGGAACTTCCCAGAGACTCATACTCCAATTAAGGACTATTCATGGAGATAACCTAGAACCCCTGCACAGATGTAGCCCATGGCAGTTCAGTTTCCAAGTGTGTTACATAGTAATGGGAAGAGGGACTGCCTCTGACATAGTCTGATTGGCCTGCTCTTTGATCACCTCCCCCTGAGGGGGGAGTAGCCTTACCAGGCCACAGAAGATGACAATGCAGCCACTTCTGATGAGAACTGATAGTCTAAGATCAGAAAGAAGGAGAGGAAGACCTCCCCTATCAGTGGGCTTGGGGAGGGTCATGCATGCAGAAATGGGAGGAAGGGTGGGATCGGGAGGGGAGGAGGGAGGGGCTTATGGGGGGTACAAAATAAATAAAGTGTAATTAATAATAATAATAAATATTAAAAAAAGAGTTAGAAATTATAATTCTTCATTTTGCAGATTAACAGAACAGACTTTCAACATTTATTCATCCCAGGAAATAATCTTTTCCTTTGAGCCTAAAGTTGTATTTCCAGCCTATATCTTACTATTTCTAAACATATGTAAAATGGCTAAAAAGAAACAAAACAAAACTTTATCAAAAATGTCATAATCCATGATGTTCTAAACTTGTATTTTTATGTTAATAGAATTTAACCAATATAATTCAACCCCCCCCCTCCAAAAATAACTGTATTTGGAAAGGGCAAGAGATATGTGTGATGGTTAATAATGGTTTGGCATAAACAACAGGTAAAACATTTATAATAGTGAACCTACAGTCCATAAGAGACTGCTGTCTCACTCAATCATAGGGAAAAATGGAATACCTTAATTTCTCTTGGGCTTTACGTTGTTTTTCCATATGCCTGAGAGTTTCCAATCTAGATTCAGGGGTGAACAAAGAAGGTTTATTCCAGAATGCCAGATCATCTTCACTTTCATCTGTTTCCTTGGAGCTGGGATCTCCTTGTGTTTCTGGTGCCTGGAGATGGTTTTTGTTCTCTGTGGCAGATGGGCTGGGCAAAGCAAACAGACACAGAGCTTGTAAGCCCAAACATGAGCATAGAAGTTTCATCTTTAATGTTTCTTCTTAGATGCCTTCTGCTTTCCTAGGTAAACTCTATACCTGTGAGTGACAAATGCCCTTCAGAGTTCACATGAACTAAGTCAGGGGAAATTATTGCCTTGGCACCACCCTCATTTTCTATCTTTTATAGATGCCAGTATCTAGTCCAAGTTGCCTGGGGAGCTTTGATTAACAAGCTCACACTAGAGCAGTCACTGGTATGGAAGGAAGCCCATGTGTCCTTGTGGTACCTTGCATAAGGTTCTGATGATCAAGCTGAGCATGGAGATCACCAACCTCTGTAATTTCCCCCAGCATCCAGTCCTATCCTTATCAAATCTTTTCTCTACATTGCTCCTGGTTCTGGCACTAATAGGCAATCCGATCATTTTACTTCTAGGTTCTCACTTTGGAAAACAATCTGGCACTTTCTCAGACAATTAGGAAAAGTGCTTCCTTAAGATCCAGCTATACAACTTCTAGGCATATATCCAAAACATGTTCAAGTACACAACAAGGACATTTGCTCAACCATGTTCATAGGAGCTTTATTCGTAATAACCAGAATCTAGAAACAACCTAGATGTCCCTCAATGGAGGAATGGATACATAAACTGTGGTATATTTACACAATGGAATACTACTCAGATATTAAAAACAAGGAAATCATGAAATGTGCAGGCAAATGATGGAAACTAGAAAAGATCATCCTGAGTGAGGTATCTCAGAAGCAGAAAGATACAAATGGTATATACTCACTTATAAGTGGATATTAAACATGTAAGATAGGATAAACATACTAAAATCTATATACCTAAAGAAGCTAAGCAAGAAGGAGGACCCTCATTCAGAAAGGCAAATGGGATGGACATCAGGAGAGAGAGAAAACGGGGAACAGGACAGGAGCCTACCACCAAGGGCCTCTGAAAGACTCTACCCAGCAGGATATCAAAGCAGATGCTGAGACTCAGCCAAACTTTGGGCTGAGTACAGGGAATCTTATGAAAGAAGGGGGAGAGAGAAAGACCTGGAGGGTACAGGAGCTCCACAAGGAAAGCAACAGAACCAAGAAATCTGGGCACAGGGTTCTTTTCTGAGACTGATACCCCAACCAAGGACCATTCATGTATGTAACCTAGAACCCCTGCACAGATGTAGCCCATGACAGCTCCGTCTCCAAGTGGGTTCCCTAGTAAGGAGAACAGGGTCTGTCTCTGACATGAACTCAGTGGCTGACTCTTTGATCATCTCCCCCTGAGTGGGGAGCAGCCTTACCAGGCCACAGAGGAAGACAATGCAGCCAGTCCTGATGAAACCTGATAGGCTAGGGTCAGATGGAAGGGGAGGAGGACCTCCCCTATCAGTGGACTTGGAGAGGGGCATGGGAGGAGATGAAAGAGGGAGAGAGAGAAGAAGGGAAAGATTAGGAAGAAATAAGGAAGGAGGCTACACCTGGGATACAAAATGAATTAACTGTAAGTAATATAAAAAATAATAAATAAAATTTAAAAAATAAAATAAAATTACTTCTCCCTCTAACTGCTCTTTCGAGTCATGAGACCTTCCATGGTATGGCCTCCGCTTCCTTTTTCATGGTTGACTTCTGATTATGGTGCTGTATATGGTAACAGCTCTCTATTCTCTCTTTACCCAATTTTGTGCATTGACTGGGAGTTAGATGAGCTCTCTGTGTATTGAATTGGTATTTTATGAACTATTCAGCATTTGTTCAGCATGAATTTTAAAAGCTTACTGAGCCAGATTCCTGGGCACAATAGACCAGGAGACCACTTTCAGGACATGGTTCTATTCTCGTAGAGAGAAAATGAGACCAGCAAACAATAAGCGCTGGTATGGCCTCGCTCCCTTCATCACTCCCTTAACACACACTCTGTAAAAAATGGTATTCCATGTATTATTTAAAGCTATTAGTACTAGGAATATTAAATAATTACTCGGTATACGTAAGATTTGGGGATTGTTGCCAAAGACATGTGTTTAGTTGATCTTTAGGAAGAATGTTATTTGCATAAAGGCATTTGATGAGACAAAAACGCTGGAATTTAGACACTATGGGCAGAACATAGAAAAAAGTTCTTTTCTTTTTTACATGTTATAAACAACCAGATATGTAAATGAGAAAAATAATGAAAAAAAAAAAACTGAAAAGAAGTGCTTTTCCCTGGAGCTAAAGTTCCTTATGAGATGGAAACATCAGCCTATAGAGATCAGTAACAGTCTACAATATTCTAGTGAATTGTCACTGGAATAATTAGCCCGATTCTTAGATAACTTTCCCCTATAAGTTTGACTTACTTTCACCTTTTACAATGTAAAGTTTTAAAAATGGTTGAAAATAAAAAACTAAACATTCTACTAAATGAACATAGAAATAAATGACTCCTAGTGGCATATTGCTATAGCCATAGAGGAGAGCAATGCTCACCCAACATCAGAGAACCTTCTTGCAGCAGCGGGGGATTAAACACAGAGACCCACAGCTTATCAAACCCCTCCTCTCAAGTCTAAGAGATCTATATGGTAGAAAAGGTAGAAATAAAGGGCCAGAGGTAATGAATGACCCCAGGGAAACAGTATCTTCCACACACAAGAAGTCTGATAAACACATGAACTCATAGCAACTGTGAGAGCAAGCTCAGCACCTATACAGGTTAAAGCCAGACAACATCTGAATGCTATTAAAAAGGGAAGTGGACAGAAATTGTGACCCCTAACCAAGCGGTAGCTGCTGGAGAGGAAAAGACAGTTTTCTCCACTGGAGTATCACTGAATAAAATAATGCAAATCGCTATAGGAAGTTCTTTGCCCTAGAGCTAAAATGTAGTGCAGCAGCCACACTGTAGGGTGTCTGGAAATAGTTGGTCAACACAAACCAGACTCCAGGGTGTGGTGGAGTATGGATGTGGTGTGGCATATCGAGGTGTGTGTGTGTGTGTGTGTGTGTGAGAGAGAGAGAGAGAGAGAGAGAGAGCGCTCACGCACGCACACATGCTGATTTTTTTGGTCTTGTTTTTTTTTAATTTTTTATTAATTACACTTTATTCATTTTGTATCCCCCCCATAAGCCCCTCCCGATCCCACCTTCCCTCCCCTTTCTGCATGCATGCCACTCCCCAGGTCCACTGATAGGGGAGGTTCTCCTCTTCTTTCTGATCTTAGTCTATCAGTTCTCATCAAAAGTGACTGCATTGTCCTCTACTGTGGCCTGGTAAGGCTGCTCCCCCCTCAGGGGGAAGTGATCAACGAGCAGGCCAATCAGATTATGTCAGAGGCAGTCCCTCTTCCCATTACTATGTAACCCACTTGGACACTGAACTGCCATGGGCTAGATGGGCAGAGTGAATGGAATTCTATGTAAGAAGTGGGAAATAGTAAGAGCTGGAGGGGACGGAAACTCCACAAGGAGAGCAACAGAACAAGATAATTTGAACACAGGGAACTTCCCAGAGACTCATACTCCAACCAAGGACTATTCGTGGAGATGACCTTGTTTTGTTTTTTAAGAGAGAAAAAGGTTATGAAAAGGGTGGGAAGGAGAGGGGAAGATCTGGAAGGAGCTAGAGAAGAGGAAAGACTATCATCAAAACACAGTAAGCAAATTCTCAGTAACTAAATAAAAATATAAAAAGCAATTTAGAAAAGAGAAACCAGCAGAAGCATTCGCTAAGTAACATAGTTCTTCAGAATCAAATTGAATCCAACTGTATGTAGCTGGTGATGAAATATCTGAACTCTAGGGAAGGAACAAAATTCCCCTCTTAAGCACTTCTTTAAACTCACTCTCATTTATCCCTCTTCCAACCTATCAGCAGAACCAGTAATCATATAGGCACTGTTCAAGAATAATTTCATTTCAGCTAAGACTCACTCCCAGGCTTTAAAAGGTCTGCCGTTTACCTAAAGCTACAGACTTACATCTAAGCTGAAGTCCCTTATTCCCTCTCCAAGTTCATGACCCAGACCATAGTTGGGTTTTGCCTGGGAGAAATGTGCAGTCTACTCCCATCCCCCTGCCTCGTGTGTGTGTGTGTGTGTGTGTGTGTGTGTGTGTGTGTGTGTGTGTG